GATTCAGATTACAACTCAGCTCTAAAATTTCAATTTCTCTGTCTACATTAACTTCACTACTTTTTTGTCAATTACTATGACAAACTTTGGACATTCCTCTTTTTATAGATAGCAAGGTTCAAATCTCTCATCATTAAAAAGTTTTGCTAAAAAGTTTAGATCTTACTTTCTGCTAAAAAGTTTAGATCTTACTATGAATATAATAATGTTATTTCGTATATTTGTTCTTAACATTTCTAACTAGATTTATTTACTGAGAGTGTTGTATAACTAATTGTTATCAACAGTCATATTAATTAACAAGAATTCCATCCATGAAAAAACTCAATTAGCTTCTCAACAAATCTGAAGAATAATAAACTCACTATGGAGGAAATCTCTTTAAACTTCTTTCCATGATTCTATACATATTCCATTCTATAGTATTATAATCTACTTTTTATATTATTATTATATTTAAAGTCAAGTTCTATATAAAATTTTATATGATTTTCTTAAATATGGTTAGTCCACTTTCAAAATTTATAACATTTATTAAATATGTTCACAAAAATAAAATCAAATAATAATTTTAGAGGTGTGTGGGTTTTTTAATATGATAAATATATAAGACATTACCAAATAGTAATTTTTAATGTTATATTAATAATTAATATTTAAATCTTACATTTTTTTTAATAAAAATTAGATTATGGAGTATTTGAGCAAAGAAAGAAAGTATAAGAGTGCTACTGTTTTGAAATATAAATTAGCATTTCATTTCAAAACTAAATTCTTTTACTTTTTTAGAGATCATTAGTGGTAAAAAAGTCCTGTTTAGTGCTTAAAATACCCAATGCTAAATTTATAAAAGAAATCATTATTAATTAATCAGTTTTCAGAATCATATTTAGGTTTCATGTTTAGAGTTTACTAAAATATTCATCTTAAAATACATATAAGTTATAGCTGTAAATATTATGAATGTCAATAATATGTTTTATTATAATTTCAAAAAATGTTAATTATTATTTAGGTTTTCATTTATTTTTTAAAATGCAAACTGTTTTAATAATTTCTATATTTAGATTAAAATTTAAGTATCAATTGGTTTTGATACAAGAAAATGAAGAACTATTGAGAATAATAATGCATTAGTAACACTTTACTGACAATTGATAAGCTATATACAACAATTTGAATATTAAATTAAAAACTTAAAATAAAAAAACTTATATATTTATAGTATTTTTAAAAATGTTAAATAATATATCATATAAAAAATATTAGAATCTTAATATATATATATATACTTATGTGTTGGATCCATTTTTATATTTAAAACATTACTATTTTAATAATCTGAATTATTCAATAATCATATGCCCTTTTATATAATTACTGAATAGTAAGTAGTCTTGAATAATTTTATATATATGTATTTTTAAATTTTAATTTTCTAGATTTTATCTGTATATGATTTGAATTGTTTTGGCTATATACAATCTGATAGCAAATTATTAAAATTTTCAAAATGTTTTAATGCATTTGGAATCATGATTTCCATATATAGCTTACTAGCATGATATCACCTAAATATAATCCTGATGATTCTTGGTTTATTGATTATTTAAATTTAATCTGATTATTCTTGATATTTAATTGGGAGCTTTTCTATTACTTTTTAGCCTAAAACACTTTCCTTGAGAAGTTCATATAAAACAATTTTTTAATATTTTACACTCCTTTATCTCTTAACTTTCTTCATTCTATGTTTTTCTTTCTCAAGAATTTTGTCTCTTCATCATTGAATTTTCACATTGGTTATGTTATGCATTATGAGTTATAAAATTTATTACTCTTGATCTTTTGGTAAATCATGTTCTGGTTGGAAAGGTTTTAGAGGTGTAATAATATTTTATATTTTAATAAATATCTAATATAAATATTTCAAAATATTATTTTCTATGTTTCCTAGTGGAGTTGCATCATTCTCAAAAATATAGCACAGTATTGTGCTTTATTTTAAAACCATGAACTTCTCTTTTTTAAAAAGTAACTTTACATAAAGAGTACTAACAAAGACCCTAGCTTCACTAGGAAATAGAGTATACCCAAGATAAATAAATTTTCTTTTCTTATTTTACAATGTTGATTGTATACAAGGTCAAATTTATCTAAATTTTGCTACTATTCGTATCCAGACAAATGCACAATAATGCAAGATAAGATCTTTTTTTTATTATCATTAAATTTGAATTTGAGTTTTTTTGCATTTATATAATAATAACATAATCTAACATAGAAAATAAATCATTGTATAAATATTGAGACAAACAATAAAACTCATGTAAAGCTGCTGGTAGATTTCAGTAAGATTTTGAGCAAAGAGACTAATTGAAAATATAAAAGGGTTTGTTATTTTTGAGATATTATTAAGAAATGAATTTGATATTTTTATGTGTATGAGATTACTTATACCATATTAGATAGCATGTCATATATGAGACATGAATACATAATTTTATCATAAAGCATTAGTACAGATTTTTCTTAATGCAAACATTATATCTCTCATATAATTATTATCTTTTGATGTACCTCTTTTCAACACCCCTAATGTAGTGTGAATATCTAAATAGATTAAATTATGTCTATTTAAATGTAAAACCAGACACATAATAAATATTCTATTATTCTTTAGAAAACTATGAAAGTTAGATTCATCATTAGAGTTGAGATAAAATAAATTTAGCTCAGTATGCAATTAAAATTAAAATTTCTTCAAACTAACTTATTATTTTTTGGTAGTCTATAATTCTTCAGTTTTGTGAAAACTTAATTACTTTTAAAGCATGACAGCAATCTTGTTTATGTTTTTAGGGTTTTCTACCTTTCAATAAAAAATTCAAATTCAAATTTAATGATGATTAAAAATGACCTTATTTTCCCCAACACTTGCATTATTATCTAATTGCATTATTATGCATTTCTCTGGAGATGAATAATAGTAAAATTTATATAAATTTAACCTTGAATACAATCAAAATTTCTAACATTGTAAAATTAGAAAAAAAAATCTATTTATCTTGGGTATGCTATATCTCCCAGCGGAGCTGGGATCTCTGCTAGTTGTTATATAATTTTGTTTAACAATCAATATGAATATGCTAGAGTCCTCTAGAATATGTGGGAACACTCTAGAGTGTCCTAGAGGTGTCATCCTAGTGTATAAAAGAGGAGCAATCGCTCACATCCAGCATTGATCAAGTCGATTTGTTTCTAGCATTCACCCAGCAAATCTCTTGCCCACATGGCTTTGTATTTCTACGGCAATGGCGGTTCAAACATCTTGGATCCCTTCGAGGAGATCTCGTCCATCTTTTCTTGTGACAACAGCAGCGCCGTCGCCAACACTCGCGTGGATTGGCTCGAGACACCCGAGGCACACATCTTCAAGGCCGATCTCCCGGGTGTGAGTAGAGAGCAAGTGAAGATCAGCGTGGAGGACGGCCGCACTCTCCAGATCAGTGGCGAGAGGAAGAAGCACGAGTGTGACAAGAGTGATAAGTGGCACCGCGTGGAGCGCAGCCACGGCAGCTTCTTGCGGAAATTCCGGCTGCCCGAGAGTGCGAATGTGGAGGCAATCAAAGCTACAGTAGAACACGGTGTCCTCACTGTCACAATTCCAAAGATCCCCAAGCCACAGCCAAGAACAATCCAAATAGAATAGAGAGCGGTAAAATGGATGGGAATAAAGTGAAAGCTCTCTTTTAACTTTCATTTATAGTTTTGTTACTATTTTACGATTTTAATAATATTAAATGTATCCCAGTTTATATACTATAGTACTTTAATTAACACATATTACTTAAGTAGGGGAGAGAGTTTGAAAAGATTAAAAGAAAAAACACTTTTTTAACACGTAATTTGTGTTTATTTGGTTGCTTTGAGAATATTCTTTATTTTGTGCTGTTTTAATGGTGAGGTGAAAATTTGGTCAGCTTCTTTCTTGACGCCCTCTTACTGTTTATCTCCTAGAGACTCTCTGCATTCAGAGTTTCCTGCGGAAAGCAGGTAAAACTATATTTTTCGGCAGCTCCTCTGCAAGCCGCGAAAAAATTACTCCACGCCCAAAACTTTTGTACTTTGATTTTCTTCTCGCTCTTGCTCAACAGATAGCATAGATCATTCTAATTTTCACAGAAGCTCCTTCCTCACTCTTCTCCATGGGTTCGGAAAGCAAATACATCCTGCAGACGGCCCATTCCTGACGAGCGAGATCTTGAGATATACAAAGCCATGTGGGAAAGAAATTTACTGGGTGAAAGAATCATGTGAGAAACTGCTCCTCTTTTATTATGTTTATGATCAACTGAGGTAAAATTAAATAGGCTGACAGGTGCCAAGCACAGAGCCTGCGAAGATGCAGTGGCCTTGGCAACAATCACGGTCTTTGGAGCATCGTGCCAAGGTATCCCCGCATCCTTCGAGGAGTTTCCTAGTGACAATCCCGTTCTCCCCTGGAAATTTTGTTAGCAAAAGTTATGGTTAGAGATCTGTATTTTAACTTACCTATTGCAAGTGCCATCGAAACCACAAAAGAGATGAACAAAAGCTGCAAAACCATCCATTGTGTTGTGCAAATTGTTGCCTCGAATAGGCTAGCTTTTATACTCTGGGAGTGAATGCCATATAATAAAATTAGGTCCGCTCTAAACATCATCCACCACAGTTTTCCTGAAAAATGAAGCAAAATCTAACCTACTAACATATGGCAGATCAGATCAAATCAAATTATAGAAGTTAATCAATTTTTGCCTGGTTCTGTTTATGTCATATTTATTACCTTTTGATCACCTTGTGAAAGAAAATGAAACTTTTCTAGTAACACCTATGGGATCATCTTGAGATGGCATTTTAGCTTACTCCATCTTACTAATGTAACATCAATCTTTGGAAAAGAATTTTTTTATAGTTGTTCCTAAGTGTTTTTACGACTACTTTGTTATTTGAGTTATACTTTACTCTTATATGATTGTTTAATATAATTAAATCATGTTGTCATGGTAATAATATATATATTTTTAGGTGTTGAGATGAAAACATAAGATTATAATGAAATGGGTGCTTTGTTTTTTTAGTTTTGGGTAAAAGTTAAAAGGTGGAACTACAATATATGTCTAATTGAGTAAATTTTTTAGACCATAATGATAACAATTATTTTGTTAAGTTTCACTTTTTTGTCAACAATAAAAGTCGTAAAGGAAGATAATGTATAAAGATCTTAACACAACTGACAAAATGATTAACTTCTTTAATTTGATTTGATCCGAAAATTAGTTGTCTATGGTAATTAAAATCTTTTAAACATACACTTAGTAAGGAAGTGGAGGAGATGTTTGTCCTCCACCGGCAGTGGAACCTGTTCTTCCTTGGGCAATGGCTCCTCCACATAGTCACTCTCAAATGCATCTAATGGAACTAGGTACACCTTCACCTATGGCTTCTACAAATCCTTAATAAGAACATACTTACCTTTAGCCAGCTTTCAGCAAACATCCATAATCGGCCCCACATAAGATTGATTCAAATCCTTGGAGCATTGTGTGGTTGTGGGGATGGATTTTTGACATATATTAGCTTCATCACTTTAGCACTTGCTAGTGTGTTTGTGTAATTCACTTGGTGAGCTTATTATTTAAAGAAATTTATACCAAACACAATCTAAAAGTTTAGTATTTTCAACACTATCAAATCTAATATTTCTTTCCATTTAGATAGTTTTATTAGAACATCACTCACAAATTTCTTGGCTATTTGCCCACCTTCTACACACCAAAAGTTTATAGGTGAATTTGCTCAGCTTTCAATCTTGATAACTTAACTAAATCTTTAGATATCATGCTTTGTATAACTCTTGTGTTGATCATCACTTGGATAAAGTTTATGAAATATATTAATAGATCAGTATTTGCATTGATTGCGAGAAAAGCTTGAGGAAAGTAACTTCTAGCTCCATGTATCCAACTCTTGCATACAAAATAGTGTCATACAGAGTGTAACAATGTAAAAGTGGTTTAACGTGAAGAGGGTACCCTATTGACTAAAGCAACATAAAGCTTGGGCTTAGACATAAACCAAATGTAAAATAAGAAGTGACATGAGCTATGAATGCATATTTTGGGTTTTCACCCCAATCTTAGGAATTAGTCTTTGTAACAAACTTGAAAACTTATTAAATATGAAATAACATTAGATTGTGAATTAGGACATAATAACAACACTATAGGGTTTAGGACACTATTTATATTTTGTAGATATACCTCTTGAGTAGATAAACACTTACTATAAATAACATATAGAATCAAAATAGGACTAACACATGGGGTGTGATAGTAAAGGTGTCTAGTAAAGACAGTACTCTATCACATAACAATATTAAAAGACTAGACTCAATATTATAGGAGTTTTTAACAATAGCAAGTGCAAGTTAATGAATGAGTTTCTGTAACCAAGTCAAATATGCTTAACTAATAACATTTAACAATTCTGTCTTTAATTACCAATTTCTCAATTAATTTGGGTGGAAACCATAAAAGGAACTAATAATACTAATTTTCTGCTGTTGTAGTACTAAGGAGTGAATGTCTATAAGGATTGGCTAGTAAGTATATTTCAATACCTAAAGTCACATTTACGACAAAAGTAATCCAAATATGATTGTGTATATAATATTTTTGCATACAACTCAAAACAAAAAATAAAAAACTGAACATGTGTAAATATATAATGCTCATATGCACAATCACATATTCATTACCATAGTTGTCATAATAATAATATATATTTTTAGTGCAAAAATGAAAAAACAAAAGATTATAATAGAATGGATGCCAATAAAGACTTTTCACACTCTTGTTTTTCTAGTTTTCAATGTTAGCAGCATAGGTAAAAGTTAAAGGGGAAAACTACCACTGTAAATTAATATTTCTAGATGAAATGTCTAATTAAGTAAGTTATTGAGATCAACAAAAATTATTTTGTTAAGTTTTCACTCTTTGTCAATAATAAAAGTCATAAAGGAAGATAATGTACAGAGATCTTAATGGTTGTCAAACATCGGAAAAAAAATGCATAATTTCTATAATTTAATTTGATTTGATCTGCCATACTCTCACTAAGGCCCACATGTTAGTTATATTAGATTTTACTTTATTTTTCTTGGTTTGATATTATCAAAACTTTAATTTTCTTTTTATATAGATGACTTGGCAAATAGTTGGTAGCCTCAAACACAACCCGAAGAGGAAATATAACACACCACTGTAAATTTTATTATATGATATTCATTCCCTAGAGTATAAAAGCTACACAAGTCACACAACACAATGGCAAAGATTCAACTCTCAACCATGGTTTTGCAGCTTTTGTTCATCTCTCTTTGTGGTTTCAATGGCACTTGCATTAAAATTAAATCTCTAAGAATAAGTTTTGCCTCGAGGGGAGAACAACATTGTCACTAAGGACTTCGGCACGATGCTCCAAAGAGAGTGTGCCAAGGCCACTGCATCTTTACAGGCTCTATGTTTGGCACCTGTTAGCCTTTTTAATTAGCCACTTAAATAATCACCTAAGATTTCTCACATGATTCTAATATTCACCCAGTTCCCACTATTTCTCGGAGAGAGAGAGAGAGAGAGAGAGAGAGAGATTCATCTTCAAGAAAGAAGCTGTAGCTCACAACCAGATTTTCACCTCCGATTGGCCAGACCGCGAAGTTTACGCAAGATTACAAACACAAATTAGGAAAAAAAAACAACTCTCTTAAACATCCTTCTCCTCACTTGGCTTGGCGCCGCCGCTCTCTTCCTCCGCCGGCGGCGGTGGAACCTGTTCTTCCTCGGGCAGCGGCTCCTCCACATACTTATTCTCAAACGCATCCGATGGAACCAGGTACAATCTCACCTGTGGCTTCTGCGGATCCTTGACAAGAACATACTTACCTTCGGCCAGCTTCAAGCAAACATCCACGATCGACTTGACAATCCCCCACATGTTGTTGGTGATGAGATTGATCTGCGCTGCGAAATCCTTGGGCTTGTGCCCCTGGACGCTCAGCACCGTGTGGTTGTAGTGATCGCGGGGATGGATCCTCGACACGTACCCCAGCTTCATCACGTCCGCGCTCGCCAGCAGCGCCTGCGCGGTCCACTTGGCGAGCTTGTTCGCGTTGTTCTTGAGCTCGGTCGCCAGCACCGCACCCCGCTGCGTCTCCAGCTTCTGCCTCCAGTCCACCCCCGAGAGCTTGGGATCGAACTCGTTGAGCGCGTTGAGCGTGAGGAAGACGCTGCCGTTCTTCGACTCCATGACGCTGTGGAGCTCGCAGCGCGCCACCAGGAACGTCTCGTCGTCCAGCTTCCAGCGGCGGTACCTGTACGCCACGCTCGCCGCCACCTCGCTGTCCCCGGCGAACGGGTTCTGCTCCTGGAACTGGACCTTGCCGCCGTCGCGGACGAGCACTTGCTGCGAGAAGTTCTGGTTGATGTACGCCGCCTCCACGCTGAGCGAGTGCGCCGAGTTGATGTCCTCCTTGGCCTCGGGCAGTGGCTCCTGGCAAGTCTCGTTCACGGACAAGAGATCCAGCTGCGAGTTGTCCCGCTTGTCGAAGAAGAGCTTGTTTCCAACGCGCTGGACGACGATGTCCCACGAGTAGACCGAGCGCGGAGCACACATGAGCGTGGAGAGGATGTTGTCCGTCGCAAACACCGTCGCCTTGTCCTCGCTGGCCAGGCGGCGGATCACCGGATCATCGCTCGTCGTCACCTTGAAGAAGTTCATGTTCTTGAAGCGCTCAAGGCGGCGGTCGGTCTTGGGCGTGACGCGATCGTAGGCCTTGTCGTAGTACTCGAGCGCGCCGCACATCGCCAGGTCCTCGGGCTCGCCAACGTTGAAGTTGAGCTTGGAGAAAGTCGTGAAGGGGATCTGATCCAGCATCGTCCACTCGGGCTGGATGTCCACCGAGTTCCGGAACGCCACCGCCTCGTGCTGCTGGGACGTCCGGTTCTGGTTGTACTGCTTGTCACGCCGTTGCTTCTTCTTCTCAGCCTCGCGCTTCTTGGCCTCGAGCTCCTTGTCCTTGCGCTGAGAAAATGGAGCGAGCGTTCATTTTTACACACATGTTTATAGAGCAACTTATTAATGTTTAATCAAGGTTCTGAATACATTGTTTAACAGATCAATATGAATATGCTAGAATCCTCTAGAATATATGGGCCCGTGTATAAAAGAGGAGCAATCGCTCACATCCAGCATTGATCAAGTCGATTTGTTTCTAGCACTCACCCAGTAAATCTCTTACCCCCCACATGGCTTTCTATTTCTATGGCAATGGCACGGTGAAATGGAATAAAGTGAAAGAAACTTTTATTTATCCTAATAAATTTATAAATTTTCTTTAAATTAATTGTTTTTTAGTGATTTTATTATAATTAAATGTTTCTTTTTGCTTTTTTATTGGTCCAGTTTTTATTATAATTCATTTTAATGAATAAGAGTTTTTTTACTAAGCATTTGTGTGAAAACTTTTAATGACTATACACAACTGACTTTCTTAGTCTATTAAACTATTTATTAACCATTAATAACTTTGAATCATCTAGTGCTTGTTCCAGGGCACTTTTGAAGTTAAGAATAGCCCCCCAAATAAATGTATAATACCATCTATTTTATACCTGTCATTTCACAAATTTAAATTTTTAATAGTGAATATATTGTTATTCATTTAGATTAATCATGTATTTATAATTTATAAGCATTTTTTATAGTTTATTAAATTTCTTAAACTTCCTTGTATATTCTAAAATACATAACCTTCAAATTGATCAATATGCAATAAGCACTATTAATAAGCAAACGAAGCATTGCTACATACAACGTGCAACAAATAATTTTAAATTGCTATTTCACAACTCATTTACAGAAAATATAAATGTTAAATTTACTCCTCTCCTTACATTTTCATTCTCTTTTCTCTTTTTTCTTTGATATGTATATAAAGAAAAGTGTTATAGCAATTGCTATGTAAATTCAATAAGAAAAACATTCCTTATTATTGATCTCCATGTTTGTTAGTGATAAGGTCATCAAACACTTTGTGGTCAACACTTGTTAATGTGTACAACATTCTCTAGAATACAAACCTGGCCTCCTAGAAGAGCTCATCCTGATGTAAGAAGTTGCTACTCAATTCTTCACCCTAAACGTCCCTCCCCTAGTTGTACATATGGGTTTTCCCTTTCATGGCTAACTCCATTCTAATGTATATATACATATGGATAATGTAAAAAAAAACCCTTTTCTATTGCATGTGGTACTCGGTACAAAGATGAAGAGTGGACTTCCTATGGTCACACCCTTTCTGATATCACTTGTGAAATAAAAATGACTTCTTTAGCTTTTCCAATAGGGGCTATAGGATCATCTAGGATGGATCTTTAAGCCTTCTCCACTTCTAGTTTACTACTATACCAACAATGTTTGCAAAAGAATTTTTTTATGTGTTTATGTTATTTGAGTCATGCTTTGCACTTCTATGATTATCTTTATAGTTAAAGTTTGTTGTTTGTGTTTTTGGGTGCTCAACTAGACCATTATATAATGAATGCCAATGGAAAACCTTTCACACTTTTGTTTTTTTAGTTTTTAGTCTTGGTGATGTGGCTAAAAGTTAAAGGTTAGTATGGGTTAATATTCCTTGAAATGTTTAATTAAGCATATTGTTAAGATCACAAAGCCAATGAATAGCAATTATTTTGTAAAGTTTGCACTCTTTGTCAACTACAAAAGTTATAGAAGAGGATCATCTTCTGTGACATGTACACTAAGGCCCACATGTTAGTCTGGTTAGATTTTACTTCATTTTTCTTGGATCAATATACAGTGAGGAAATTAGCCAAATCTTATCAAATCTTTAATTTTCTTCCTGTATAGATGACTTAGCAAAACTGTGGTTAGCCTGAAACCCAAGGATGAGGTTTGGAGTATATGCAAAAGTCAGACCTCATGATCCACACCATTGTTATTTTTATCATATGATATTCATTCCCCGGAGTATAAAAGCCAGCCTATTAGAAGCCACATTTCACAGAACAATATGGCAAAGATTCAGCTCTCAACCATAGTTTTGCAGCTTTTGTTCACCTCTCTTGTAGTTGCAATGGCACTTGCAATAGGTACTTTAAAATTCAAATCTCTAACCATAAGATTTGCTAATAAAATTTACAGGGGAGAACAACATTATCACTAGGAAACTCCTCCAAGGATGTGGGGATACTTTGGCACGATGCTCCAAAGACGGTGATTGTTGCCAAGGCCACTGTGCCTTCGCAGGCTCTGTGCTTGGCACCTGTCAGCCTATTTAATTAGCCACTTAAATTACCTCATAAACATACTACCTAAGAGGAGTAATTCATCCAATAAATCTATTTCCTTTGTGTGGCTTTATATACAAATATGGCTTTGTATTTCTTGGCAATGGCGAAACCTCTCTCAAAGGATGACTTTTGAGAGAGAGGAGAGAGAGAATGGCAGCCGTGGAGCTATTTTTTCGCGGCTTTAGTTTTGCCCTGCTTTCCGCATCGAGAGAGAGTTTCCAGGAGATGGGAAACTTCATCACAGTAAGAGGCCTCAAAATTCATCCTGCGCTTAGTCTGGTGGCCTCTCAAGATCCAATCGAATTCTCACAAACAAAAACTCAAAGCTCGAGAAAGCATGCTGGTCTACTTGCAGCGCCATGTTGTGTCATTCCAAATTTCAAACACCACCACTGTGAGATTTCTTCTCTAGTACCACGAATACATCCGCTCACGCTCCATCTGCGCTCTCCCAGACAGAGAGAGAAGAAAGAACACGACCAAATTTTCACCAGACCACAAAGTCTGGTGTATACGCAAGATTACAAACAGAAATTAGAAAAACAAGAACACACTCTCTCTCTTAAACATCAGCGTCCACATCCTTCTCTTCGCTTGGCTTGGCGTCGCCGCTCTCCTCCTCCGCCGGCGGCGGTGGAACCTGTTCTTCCTCGGGCAGCGGCTCCTCCACATAGTCATTCTCAAACGCATCCGATGGAACCAGGTACAATCTCACCTGTGGCTTCTGCGGGTCCTTGACAAGAACATACTTACCTTCGGCCAGCTTCAAGCAAACATCCACGATCGACTTGACAATCCCCCACATGTTGTTGGTGCTGAGATTGATCTGCGCTGCGAAATCCTTGGGCTTGTGCCCCTGGACGCTCAGCACCGTGTGGTTGTAGTGATCGCGGGGATGGATCCTCGACACGTATCCCAGCTTCATCACGTCCGCGCTCGCCAGCAGCGCCTGCGCGGTCCACTTGGCGAGCTTGTTCGCGTTGTTCTTGAGCTCGGTCGCCAGCACCGCACCCCGCTGCGTCTCCAGCTTCTGCCTCCAGTCCACCCCCGAGAGCTTGGGATCGAACTCGTTGAGCGCGTTGAGCGTGAGGAAGACGCTGCCGTTCTTCGACTCCATGACGCTGTGGAGCTCGCAGCGCGCCACCAGGAACGTCTCGTCGTCCAGCTTCCAACGGCGGTACCTGTACGCCACGCTCGCCGCCACCTCGCTGTCCCCGGCGAACGGGTTCTGCTCCTGGAACTGGACCTTGCCGCCGTCGCGGACGAGCACTTGCTGCGAAAAGTTCTGGTTGATGTACGCCGCCTCCACGCTGAGCGAGTGCGCCGAGTTGATGTCCTCCTTGGCCTCGGGCAGTGGCTCCTGGCAAGTCTCGTTCACGGACAGGAGATCCAGCTGCGAGTTGTCCCTCTTGTCGAAGAAGAGCTTGTTTCCAACGCGCTGGACGACGATGTCCCACGAGTAGACCGAGCGCGGAGCACACATGAGCGTGGAGAGGATGTTGTCCGTCGCAAACACCGTCGCCTTGTCCTCGCTGGCCAGGCGGCGGATCACCGGATCATCGCTCGTCGTCACCTTGAAGAAGTTCATGTTCTTGAAGCGCTCAAGGCGGCGGTCGGTCTTGGGCGTGACGCGATCGTAGGCCTTGTCGTAGTACTCGAGCGCGCCGCACATCGCCAGGTCCTCGGGCTCGCCAACGTTGAAGTTGAGCTTGGAGAAAGTCGTGAAGGGGATCTGATCCAGCATCGTCCACTCGGGCTGGATGTCCACCGAGCTCCGGAACGCCGCCGCCTCCCGCCGCTGGGACGTCCGGTTCTGGTTGTACTGCTTGTCACGCCGCTGCTTCTCCTTCTCGGCCTCGCGCTTCTTGGCCTCGAGCTCCTCGTCCTTGCGCTGAGGCAGGAGGCGCTGGTTGGGCCGCCACTTGTTGTAGTTCCGCCGCGGCGGCGGCTTCCCATCCACGGGCTTGAATGTGTCCTCGTCGGCTTCATCGTAGACGAAATCAAAGACGCTCTCGCCCGCGCGCATACCTCGAGAGGGATAGGATCGGCTCCAATCGGCGGCGCGCCCCAGCTTCTCGTTCTTGGCGAAGGGCGCCAGGAGGAGCGGGCTCTGCGCCGCCGCCGCTGGCAGTGTCGATGACTCCGGCGGCCCCCATCCCTCCAGATTCTCCACCACGTCCGGGACCTTGAACCCCGCCCTCACCATCGCTCGCGCCGCCCTAATCCAAGAACCCTAAAATGCTACTAGAGCCCTAAAATGGTGAGCCTGGATATACTGAGAACATTCGTTGCGGGAATATGCTTGATTATGCTTTTAGGGCACAAAGAGCACGAGGAGGAGGGCGACAAGTGGAAGGAGTGGTGGAGACGGAGGCGGCGGCGAGGAGGAGAATTCCGGGGCGGTGGCGGTGATGTTCCGCGAGGGGGCGGTGGTGGTGGCGGTGATCGCGAGCTTGAGATTGGAGACGCAGTGGCCGGGGACGCCGCAGATGAAGTAGGCCTTTGGGGAGGCGATGGCGAAGGAGGAATTGGGCGGGATGGTGGCGATGGGATTGTTGATGTTGCAGCCATCGAAATCGCCCTGCGTGACCTGGAGGACCGAGTGGCGGGGCGGAGTGTAGATGAAAACTGGGCAAGAGGAAAAGATCACTCGAATTGGATCCAAGATTGCGGCAAATTCACGATGGATTCCCACTTACCCAGCGAGTCTTGCCCCATCACGAAGCTGTACTTGCTCGCCCACTGCGCGTAGTCGACGCCCAGATCCCAGTGACGATCGTCGCCCACCAGGTACGCTCTCGCATTCGCGCGATCGCTGAGAAGCAGGGACGATGCGATCGCCAGCAGCCAGTAGCCCATGAATGATCGATCGATCGAAGAAAGCATTTTCCTTGGAGAAGCAAAGAGAGACGAATTGATTCGTTGGCGTGCCTTTGAATGAATGGAATCAACTCTTTCATAATTAATGAGAACTCTTGCGCCAAAAACATTGAGGAACTTTCCCTTTTTCTTTACGATTTGATCGATCTCTGGATCTGTGCTACTACTCCTACTACTAGCTAGCTAGAGCTTTTGTACACGCCAGGGAAGCTAGCATAGCCATATAAACAGTAAGTGTTTATACACATACCTCTCTCCTTTAAAACTCCACACTACTGCTGAGTTGCAGAGAGAACGAAGCTCGTCGCAGATTCTCGAGCGGGGTCTCGACTTGCAAAACTAGGCCAGAACTTCCGGTGTGTTCACCGTTTCTCTTCGATCGGCCCACCTGTGGTAGTAGCAAGCGAACTGCGATTAAGATCACTGAGAAACGAGGAGGAAAACCCACCGAGATGGATGCAAATGCCGATGGCTCCAGCGTGGGCGAGCAGCCACAAGCAACGCTGAGTTTTTCCTTTGGTGAGTGTACAACCTCGGCCCTCCAGCCGGCGTTTCGTCCACCGAAAGTTGGAGTGACACTGCCAAACATCAAGTCATGGAGAGGAAAACTCGAAAAAGCTATAGTACCTGAGCTGTACAGTGGGTCTCAGCATTAATCCCGACCTCTGCCACGCTAGAGGCTGAGTAACTCCAACAGACACTGATTTTTCTGGCAAGTGGAGGGACGGGCAGATTCTCGTCCCGCATTGATTCTGTGGAAGAAAAGAAAAACTGAGTTTGATCGAAATGATTGAAGATATATACCTTGATTGAGAAGCTGAGTTTGCTTTCTCCGGGATGCCGACCTTGTAATTGCAGCAGTCCACCGTAAACTGGAAGAAAAGCGCTCCCGGACACACCTTCGCCCGCTACGTACGTCATCTGACCATTTGGAAACTGCAAGTCCATGAAAGACTGCAAATTCGAAAGGGAATCAGTACACACCGAGTCAAGGAAAAAGAAAAGAAAAAACTTACGCATGCCAGAGGATTTAAACAGATCATTGACATGAGCAGCCATCTCCGATGCTTGGACCATATAGCCGGGCACAAGGAATGCAATCCATTCTGTCGTGAAAAACAAACACAGACTCAAGTTTCCATATAGAAAAAATTAGATTTTTTCTTGCCTCCACCTTACCTTTCGATCAAAGCCATACCACAGCAAGTGACGCTTGGACAAATGTATCGGTAACAGAAGCGTTGTGTCCCGGACAAACAGGATAGGCCCGATTTGCAAGAGGAACAAAGGAGACGAACCATTGCTCGAGGAAGCTCCTCCATGGGACGCCTCGGCCCTCCACAGGTCCCCCCTTGCGACGACCGAGCTCTCGATGTCCTGAGTCCTACTATCGTAAGTCGTAGTTACAGTGATGCTACTCTGCTCGCCACCACACACGCACAAAAGAAAAGTCACGATGCGCAAGAAAAACAAAGAAGAAGAGACAAAGGCTATTTACCTGCTTGTGGAATTGATTCGATGACTTGGTGATGGCTGCCACTAGCTCCTCTCTAGAAGCCTCGTAAGAAGCTGGCGCCTCTGCAGTGACAACATGAGCTTCTCTCAGTCCTTCTTCCATCCTCCTTTGCCTTGCGCTAGTCGGACTTTGCCAGGAGTTCAGCATGACACCGGCATCGCTGCTACTGTCCTTCCACTCCATAGTTCCTCCGGCCAATCCATCCTCCGACCCACAATGAAGAGGAAGCGAATTCCCGGAACTCAATCCCGGCGGAGCTTTGTGGAACTGATTCACGACATGGCCGACGAAACCACCGACGCATGCCCCCAGATCCGCTCGAGCTTGTCCCAGCCTGTTCCCGAGCTCCAAAAACGCGGAGGAGATTTCCGGAGCTCTATGAGTAATGGGAAGAAGCGGCCCCTTGCCAGAGATTTGAGCTCGCTCTCTCTCGTTCTCACTTCTTTGTTCCTGCTGCTGCTGCTGCTCCATGAACGGCCATGGCAAATTCAATCGTATGCCCCAGCTTTGCGGCTCTTGCCGGCTCGCATCGTCGGCCTGTGGCACGCAAACCCCAGTGGAGGATCGAATGTGGCTCTGGAGCATGCATCCCAATCCCTGGGCCAGGGAATTAAATTTCTCGGCAATGAATCCCTGCCCGTGGCGCTGCATTTCCTCCCAGCTCTCCATGGAGATCGAGCGCTCCATCCTGCGATCACCGCCACATGCCGACCGATGGACGCGCGAGCTACAATCTAGCGAGCGAGCGCCATGCCCATTTCCCTACCTTGCTAAAACCGACCCTAGACCTAAATTTCTTCTTTAACCCTTTATGGGGTTTTGTAAAACCCTAGTGATTGGTTTGGAAAGCCCTAGTGATTAGGGTTTGTTCCTGATGCCGGCGAAGAGAAAGCGGCAGCGGGTAAGATTTCCAGAGCTCCGGTTTTCGATTTCCCTGCATCGCATTCTTCTTCTCAGGATGGCCCGGCGCCAGTGCCGCTGCTTCCGCCAGAGATTCACGACGACGACATTGAGATTTCTGACGAAGATGTGGAGTTTGTGACCAAGAACAAAGGCTATGCCGGGTTCCTGAGTGGATTGGACACCAAAGGCATCACGAAGTGAGTTTTGAGTACCCGGAATTTCGCAGAGTTTTAATTCTTTGTGTTCCAGGCAAGTGCTGGGATTAAAGCCGGATTGGAATGGAGACAACCTCGAGAGATTCTACGAGAAGAAGGCAAAAGTTGCGGCAAACAAGGATTTTGACAATGCACTCACTGTTGATCCTGTGGATGCCTTGCCGATCAAAAACCCGGATGGGACGCTTGAGTATCGCAGGGTCGAGAAAGCAAAAGCAGTGCCTAGTCCGGAGAAGAAGCAAGATGCAGACGAGAAAGAACAGCCGACCAAAACGAAACAAAAGGGTCAAGACAAGAGTATCAAAGCAAAGAAAGAGTCAAAACCCAGAGCGAAGGGGGCAGAGGTCGAACCTGATGTAAAGAAGCCGGCCCTGCAACCAGAAGTTCTGGTATGTTTTGAGTTTCTCCTGCCGTTACTTTTTTCTAACGAATTTCACTATCAGGAGGAGCTGCAGGAGTTCGTTTCCGTCGAAGAGAAACGCGGCCATATGAAGGAAAAAATAGCTAACCTTTCGACTGAGCTACTTTCGTGTCCCGAAGATTCAACTGGATCTTTGAAGGAGCTAATAAGCATTTGCTCGGACAAGGACGACACTGTCAAGCACTTCGCGATGCTGTCGCTCATGGCAATCTTTCGCGACATTCTTCCCGGGTACTTGAATAGCAAATAATTTACGACATTTCATACCAACTCTAATTCGTTGCAGGATCTGTATAACAGTTATCGCATAAGACCGCCTACGGAGAAGGAGCTCGAGATGAAAGTGTCCAAGGAGGTCAAGCAAACAAGGGACTATGAAGCTACTCTACTCAAATGTTACCAGGTTGGTTTTATAGTTGTTCTTTCATTCACAGGCGCTGTTTGTCCAGGGGTACGTTCAAACACTCATAAGAGGGAGCTATACAGCGTCTGGTCGACATATAGCTTTGAAATGCATGTGTGGCCTTCTTGAAGCGGTTCCACATTTCAACTTTGGAGATAATTTACTTCGAGCTGTCGTCCCATTTTTGGATGCAAGTGATCCTGCTGAGAGGTATGTGTTCAAGGAGTTTGCATATCCCCTGCCATTTTCTGCATACCTCCTGACGTTTCGTACAGGACTTTGGCATCCCTAGCATTGTGTTCTCTGTTTAAGAACGAGAGAAAACATGGCGGGGAAGCCACTGTGGAGGCTGTCCAGCTAATTGCTGACTATGTGAAAGAAAGCGATTGCAATGTTCAGCCCGACGTTTTACAGGCTAGTGTTTTTTGTTTCCATTTGCTCGGACTTTACTTGAGCCTGTGTGTACTATAGGTTTTTCTGGCGCTAACTTTTGACGAAAACATTGTTAATAAGAATGAGAAGGCCCTACACAAGCCTAAATCAAAGTTCAAGCGCGAGGACAAAAAAGAGAAAAGAAATACTTCGGCTGATGATATTCGCAAAGAGGTAGCTTGTTGATGATTTTGCTCTCTTTTATGTTTTCATTTCGTAGGTGGAAGACGACTTTCGAGAAGCTTCAACATTGCCAGATGCCAAAGAACGAAGAAAGTTGCAAACTGCTACTTTGTCTGCGGTTTTCGAGACGTACTTTCGAGTCTTGAAGGCAGCTGTGGCACCTAGTACTGCCACAGACAGCTCCAGTTCACTATGCAGCCATCCGCTGCTGGGAACTTGCCTTCAGGGCCTGCTGAAGTTCTCGCATCTCATAAGCGTCGACTTCCTTGGAGATTTGCTTGCGGTTCTTCGGAAGCTGGCCGAAGGAAAATCAAGTGTGGAAGAGAGGCTCCAGTGCTGTGTTGCTGCCTTCAGAATCATGAAAGCGAATTTGGACGCTCTTACCGTGGATTTGAAGGAGTTTTATGTTCACTTCTACGACGTTCTTCTCCACCTGTATCCTGACAGGTAAAAATGACTCTTTTGTTTCTTTTTTATCATGGCTTGTTTGTGTGACAGGAATCTAGACAGTGAAAACAGTTTTGCTGAGGCTTTACAAGTTATTCTTTGTGAGAGTCGGCACCACGATTTGCAGAGAGTGGCTGCCTTTGTTAAAAGGCTTGCGGCTGTTTCCTTCCATTTTGGATCCAGCACCGCCATGGCTGGTAAGCAGCATTTCTCACTGCAAAATACATTCATTTAACGAAGGTCTTCGAATTGCAGCATTGGTAACTATCAGGCATCTGCTTCTTCGCTACAAGAAATGCCGTAATCTTCTGGAAAACGACGGTGGTGGTGGAAATGCCATGGTGAGAACTTCGAGCTTCCTTTCCTTTTTTACAAACCTACGAGCTTCCAGGTTTTCCACCTGACCGAGCCTGATCCCGATCTAAGTGGAGCCCTGTCGTCCGTCCTGTGGGAGCTCGCGCTGCTTCAAAGCCACTACAATCCGGAAGTCGCCAAGCTATCCCAACAGATTGCCGGCACTCTAGCATCCGAGAACTTCTCCGTGGTCATGTCACCCAAGGACGCCACGGCCGCGTACTCGATACAACAAGGCGGCTTTCGCCCGGCCGTGAAGCTCCCGCCCTCCAAGCTCGTGAAGAAGAGCTCATACAAATCGCGGCAAGCTCCAAGTTCGCTCCCGGATGCTGTAGAGGACAGCGAGAACGCTGTGGACTTTAGAGACTACTTTCGATTGCTGCGGGACATAACCGAGAACCAAGCGCTCAGGAAAGAGCTCGTCAAGAGCAAGACGATGGTGGAAATGTATGCGCGATATAAGAGTGAGAAACGCATCGCAGCAGCCGGGAAGAAATCGAAGACGAAGGGGCCAAGGAAGATCAACAAGAAGATCAAAGCTTAGAACGAGGGAAGATCGATTTTTTCGAGTAAAATAAGAAGTGAATCAAAGTTTAGTATGCTTATAGAGTATAGAAAAGAAATTAGGGCAAAAGACGCGTTGCGAGGGGAGGGGCGATCGATCGATCGATCTCGCGGGCGCGGCGAAGATGAGCTCCAAGAGGTTAGTGGAACAGGTGATGGAGCTCAAGATCACATCCAAGACGCTGGCGCGCCAGGCGCGCAAGTGCGAGAAGGAGGAGAGGGCCGAGAAGCTCAAGGTGAAGAAGGCGATCGAGAAGGGCAACATGGACGGCGCCCGGATCTACGCCGAGAACGCCATCCGCAAGCGCTCGGAGCAGCTGAATTACCTGCGCCTCTCCTCGCGCCTCGACGCCGTGGTGGCGCGCCTCGACACCCAGGCCAAGATGATGACCATCAACAAATCCATGACCTCGATCGTCCGCGCGCTCGACACCGCGCTGGCCTCCAACAATCTCCAGAAGATCTCCGAGACCATGGATCAGTTCGAGCGGCAGTTCGTCAACATGGAGGTCCAGTCGGAGTTCGTGGAGACCGCCATGGCCGGGAGCACGTCGCTGTCGACGCCCGAGGATCAAGTGAACACTCTGATGCAGCAAGTGGCCGACGACTATGGATTGGAGGTGTCGGTGGGATTGCCCCAGGCCGCCTCCCACACCGTGCCGCCCATCAAGGAGGCGGCGATCGATCAGGCTGACGAGAGCGATCTTAGCCGCCGGCTCGCGGAGCTCAAGAGCCGGAGCTGATCGATTCGCTCGGCCGGTGTGTGTGTCGATCGATCGAGCCGAGCGAGCGAGCGGGCGGTCTGTCGATCAATCGGTGCCGGGATGGATCGATTGGTGATTTTCGGGAAGAAAGTAACGGGAAGGAGAAGAATCATATGGCTTGTAAAGATTCCGTGTGGAATATGCTCTTTAATTTAACCAAGTTATTAAGTATGACTTTTAGGGTTTCCAGCTTTTAGGGTTGAAAGCCCTAATTCTGAATTTTGGGCGCCAAGTTAATGGCACCATAACAAATACATACGTTGCGTATTAATATACAGGGGAATGTAGGCCGCTTGATTTGTGGGGAAGTAAAAATGGCAAGTTACTTGACGCGATATTTACGTCGTCAACCGCAAATATCAGGTGGAAACACCTATAGGCGCCGCTCTTTTCTTTCATTCCTCCATTTCTCCAGCTCCTGCTGTGCGAGCAAAGCGATCCCTCTCTTTCCTTTGGCCTGTTCTTGGCTATCGATCCATCCCGGATGTCTGAGTCTGAATCTCAAGAGCGCCAGCAGCTGCAGGACCTCAAGCTCCTGTACTTTGAACACCGGACTCCGGTGTTCAAAGTACAGGAGCTTGAGCTTGAAGTCCGAGTATATCTTTCTGCTTTCGTTTTGCTGCTTGCAAGCACTGACTAGCCATCGTTTTTGTGCAAGATCGCAAAGAAGGCATCGCTTCCTCCCTGCCAGAGCCGCCATCGCCGCCATCGCCGCCACGGCCGGCGAGGCCCGCGCAGCCGCGATGGCGGCCAAATGAGGAACAGCTCGCCATCCTGGAAGATTTCTACAAGAAAGGGACGCCGACATCGCAGGACAACATCGATACAATCACAGAGCTCCTCTTAACAAAGTTTACTCTTGGTTAAACGCAAGCGCCGTCGCATCGAGGAGGGCTCGGGCTCCTCCGCCATCGCCACCACCGTCGGTTTCCAGTCCGCCGCTTCATCTGGTAAACTTTCCTCCTGGATGCGAGAACAAACAAAGAGAAGAACAAGAAAAAAAACATGAGAGATTTTTTCCTGGACTGCGCAAGATCTTTGCTTTGATGTTCTACGATGACGCGGAGCTCTCGCCACTCCAGCCCGCTCATGTAAGGAAGACGGAGGAGGGATATGCCTTAATCGGCATCTTCTCTCTCTTGTTTTTCAAAAGGTTGAAAAGTAACTTTGAGTGGGTGTTTCTAAATTTGGCCGATTCCGTCGGCAGTGACAAACGAAGAGGAATCGGAGATCGGTCGCGGCTTTGCCAACCTGGACGACGTTTTCTGATCCATGCCAGTTCTTGTTAATTGATTTGTGTGTGTCCCCTGCATTGAACAATGAAGAATTGTTTAGATTTTGAACCGTTCTCAGAGATCTTCAAGAATTCTTCTCCTGGCAATGGCAACTGTAATTCCTCATCTCTACGTTTGAAGAGCTTCAGGTATTTCTCTCTTATGATTGTTATGTGATGAATTTACAATGATCAATAGGACTTCCATAGAATGTTGTATCGTCCCAGTAATGCAAGGATGGACGCTCGTTTGTTCTTTGCCACTCGTTGAGGATATAATGGTTTTATGGCGACGATGATCTGACTCAAGTAGTGAATGCTCAGTTTATGTATGGCTCGTCAGATACTGATCCGTGTGAGGTATCTAACTAGATTTTGAAGCCCACAACTCAGCAGTGGAATCCGAAGTTTAACCTCAAAGCCTGCCAAAAGAAGATTAAACAATATGCAGTACTCAGGAGAGGATATGAAGTGGCTTCTTTCAGACAAGCCATTGGATCTGGAGACTGAGTTAGCTCTCGGCTTTCTCGAGCATCATGTCTTTCAAAACTAGAGTCCTCAAAGCCATATGCATGGTTGCTGGAAAAATCTAACGCTGCCTATAAATTCGTGTAGGTTGGGAAATACCAGTGACTATTCGTCGAAACGACTCAACAACAAAACGATAATAACAAATTGATGAAAAACCATCAGTGTTTAGTTATTTACGAGCGATGTCCAGGGGAATTCTTTCACTGCGCTCTAGTAGAACTTAACTCTTCGATCGCACTGAAATCACTCAAAATTTGTTCGTGAGAAGAAGGCCCAAAAGGTTGCCTTAACTGTTTTGCTGGATCTTTGTAACTCTTCCTCGCGTTTGCGCTGGCAACCTCAGAGATTTCAAAGCGTTCGCAGACGGACGTCAAAGAGAAGAACATCGTCGCGGCTGTCTCCATGTATCGAGAAATCCTTTTCTTAGTGTCCTCTCCGTTATACGAAGGAATTGCAAAGCAAAACCTCAACGACCAGATTCTCCACCTTATATCAAGCCGCACAACATCCTCCTGGAATTCCGATACGTCAGCCTCAAATTGCTTGGCACGACCTTTGGAGAACTTTGACAAAAAGCTGAACAGTGAAGCCTACATCTCCTCGTACTTGTAATTCACATGGGACCGTTCCATGATCCTCAGAGAGTTCTCAAATTGGTGAAAGCTTTTGTCTTGTAAGACTTCCAGTCACTGCGGCTACAAAAACTACGTTTGCAGCGGCAATGTCTAGATTTCTTTATCCAACAGCAGAGATCATCCCAAGCCGATGGTGGATGATTTAGTTTGCATCCAAGCTTGGGATTGCTCACGGGACATGCAATCTCCAATCGTCGTATAAAACCATACTCCGGGACTGAACTCCGGTTTTAAAACGTTTGGTTTCTTCGTAAATGTAGTTTTTGCCATGAACATTAATCATTTCGAGGATTTCGACGTTCTGCATAAGATTGATTTAACGTTCGCTTCATTGACTTGGGCTGCACTGCTTCATTCAGACTCTGAAGTATGGACAAGATCAGGCAATTCCTCTGCTCGGCATTGCTGCTCCTCTCTTTGATGGCAGGTGGTCCAGAGCTGTGAATCCAGATTTATGATAATGGGCTCGTTATTTTAAGGATGAAATATATATAAGACTTTTTAATTGTTTAAAAGAGTTGTGTAATTGCATATTATTTTTTGAATAATTTTTTGTTTGCTTAAGCAAACCCTAGGATGGACCTAAAATATTCTTGAATATTTTAGGATATTTTACCATATTTATAATTTATAAACTTTCTTAAACCCTTTTTAGTATATTTTTTTTATTCTATCATGCAATAAGGTTAATCTTGTGTTTATAAATTACAAAAATAATTATAAACTTTATTTAATCAATTAACAATAACACTACAACCAAGCATTGCTACATGCAATGTGCAGCAATTTATTTTTACTTTATTTTTCTTGACTTCTATGTGATTCCCTAGCAAAATTTAAAAGGTTTCTTAAATCTTGCCAATTGGCTGAGTTTTCTCCCACATCGATCAAACCGCCAAAAAACTATTGCATTATTATGTTTGTATATAGCAATTTGGAGGCTGAGGGAAATGCTTCAATTGTAAATTGGAACAACTTGTAAAAAAGGAATCTTTGTGTTGATTGCGACTTGTTGTGGAAACACAATGATCCCTAGTATAGTAGAAGTGTTAGAAGAGATCTCTATTGAGTGGTTGCCTAGTGCAAAAAAAAACCTCAACACCTTCTTGGGAAAACTGGGTTGGAGAATCTTGGTGTACATTGCAAACAGCCAATGTTCCCAAGCACCTCTGGGAGTCGGAGAGAGTGAAAAGGCCATTTCTGTCACGGACAAGAAGTCAGGAGTGAGAAAGAATCATTAGAGAAGTTATGCATGACATTTCCCTGGTGGTGCAAGCTTGTGAGCAGCAATTCTACTGCAAGAAGGTCCCTAAGAGTACAATTGGCAACCTAAACGAGCTCAAGAGCAGCTAGGGCAAGAGGAGGAAGAAGGAACAGCACGTTACACCATATGGATTAGAATTAACTTGGACTGTTTGCCCCACCCTGGACAAGGATGACGACTAAGTTAATAACGAATCTTTTTTGGCTCTCTCGTGCATTTAAATGGATCATATAACTTTGACTCGGTTTTATATTGTCTCTCTCGTACTCCGCGAGTTTTTAGCCTTTCTCAGCTCTCTAGATACTGCTCTTGAAAATCTCATCACAACTAATAATGAGAAGGACTTTTAGGGCTTGTAAAGTATATTCGCTTTGGACCTTTTTAGGGTTTTGTCTTTCCCGCCGAGCGTTTTCCCTGCCGCGGCGATCGGCCTTCTTTTTCTTCGGCCCATTCGATCAAGAAATGCGAGCGCTCCCGAGGTTTCGATCTCAGGTATCGCATTTCTCATCTTGTCGATCGGGCTTCGAGCTTCTTCTCGCGAGCGACGCCGCCGGTGGTGGCAATGGCGATGAAGATTGCCCTGCTGTACATCCTTGCGTCACGCTTCTTCATCGACCCTTTCATTGTAAGCTAGTCGATTCTATTCTTCCTCTTTTCTCATGTTTTGTTCTTCGATTCAGGCGCTCGGGCTCCTTTCGAGAAATCAAAGGGACGCGTTGTGCACTATAGGGAGCACCTGTGAGTCTTTACCTCCTCTCGATCTAGCTGTGGATTACGACTCCGATCACTTTTGGGTCCCCTTGTCTTGGAACCCATGCAGCAACGAATGTGGAGGTGGAACACAGGTAATGAACTACACGCTCTCTCATCCTCTGCCTTGTTTTCTCTTGACTTCTTAACGTTTCTATTCTAGACGGCAGCGCTGGGTTGCTATGCTAGCAACTTGACGAGAGTTTCTTCATCGATCTGTGAAGATCTACCGAAGTTAAGTGTCGAACAGGTAAGCATTGCTTGCTTCCTCTGCTGTACGTGAAATCTTCTACAATTTTTCTTCGTAGCCATGCAATGCCATCGAGTGTCCAAGCTATACGGTGTACAGATCACCATGGAGCGAGTGTAGCAAAACTTGTGGAACGGGATATCAGACCAGGTATATGCTTGGTTTGAGGAGGCTTCGTTTACGTACAGGTTTCTGCAGAGAAGTTCTTTGCCATGACAACCTTGGCTCGCTCGTTCATTCCCAGCATTGCGATCTAGAAGAAAGCTATGTAGAGTCACAGCTATGCAATACTGATGCTTGTGAAGCCAGCTACTGGACCCTTCCAGCTTGGAGCGCGTGCGATGCGCCGTGTGGTGGTGGAAGGCAGAAGAGAATTCCCACTTGTCATTCTACTCGAACAGAAGTATCCATATGCACTGGAGAGCGGCCAAAAACAGAACAAATGTGCAACACTCAGGTATATTGTGTAGAGAGTGACTTTGATTCCCTTTTCTTTCTTTTAAACAGGCTTGCAGCACGCATGCCTGGCTCGTCGGCCCATGGAAATCATGTCCTTACGAGTGTGAAGCTACCACAGACCGCCTTGTACAGGTTTTACAATTGTTATTGTTTTTGTTTTTCTTTCGTGTGACACCTCCTTTCAGTGTGTAGACGGCTATGGATTTGAACAACCTGACTCTGAGTGCCCAGGGAGCAAGCCAGCAAGCACTATTTCATGTGATCAACCCCACATCAGTTGCAGCGACTGCCTGTACGATTGTTTTGGTCATGGTGTTTGTAAGGTGTGTACTGTAGTATAACGTTTTCAACTTCTCGTGTCACTGGATCTTTCTGTTTGTTTCCAGCCTGATCAATGCTCTTGTTATGATGGCTGGACTGGCAAGTATTGCCAGACACCTAGCAATTGCCATGGTTCCTTGGGATATTCTGAACAAGCCAAAGCTCGATGTTGCCACTTGGTGGATGTCAATCAAAGATGCTGTAGCACCACAGCTTCTCTAGACAAGGTAGGCACCTTATCTGGTGTGCGCTTTTAAAGTTTTTGTTGATATTTTTATCTACCTTCTTACAAGGTTTCAGGATGGAAACTGCTGTGCAAGCGGTGTACTTGACAGTCTTGGTGTCTGTGACGGTGTTGCAACGTAAGTGCGTCAGAAGTTCTAGCTTCAACGGTTAATTCTCTCTGTGCGTGCAGGATGATAGATTTTGAAGGAAAGCCATGCTCTACGATTCGAGATGAGAAAGGGCTCTGCTGTATTAGCGGAGTTTTAGATGAATGCCATATATGCGATGGCGATGGTACAACCTGCTCAACGGATATGACCCTCTACTTGAACGTGACCGGATTCGCTCAAGCAATCCAGGAAGGCGCATTTCAGAAGTTTCTTACCTCTACAATGAGCAGAGTGAGTTTTCCCGTCCTGTTTGTTTTCACAGGTAGTTGACATCACGTTTTATTTTTGCAGTTGGCATCTAAGCTACGTATAGCCGATGAAGCTTTAACAGTAGCAGAAGTTCGAATGATCAGCCCAGGAGGTGAAACATGCGCCGTTGATGCACTACAGGACAGTCTTTGCTCGCAAGACGAGCAGATAAACGGCCTTGCAGTTGTCAATGCTACAGTTTTTCCTACCAGTGTAAGTTTCAATCTTCTCTTTACTACTGCTGTATATGTCGTACATTTTTACAGCCGGATATGGTGATCAAGAAAAGAAAAGATGTGCTCGCTGCACTTCAACCCGGTCCGTTATCTTCCTCCCTCACTGTTCTTCCTGAGGTAACGTCTCTCAGTTCTGCTTTGTTGGTAACTCCTTTTGCCTGCTTCCATTTTGCAGGCTTTGAGTGCGGATTTATTGTTTGTAGGGGACGTAAGAAGAGCTGGTGTTTGCGGCAATGGCTTGTGTGAAAGGGGTGAGAGATGTACCAGCGTCGGCGCAAGTGCTACCACTTTCAGAACGTCCTGCTGCCTTCAGGATTGTCCGTATGTGTCAGCTGTGTGTCCGGCTCCAATGGCTGGTCCGATGAAAAACAAAACTTGCTCCGGTAGGGGCATTTGCCTGGAGGCGTCTGGACAATGCGATTGTTTCCGAGGTATGTTTACTGGGATTTTTATGTCTTCATTCCTGGAAACGTCTTTGCTTTCTTCAGGCTATGCTGGATCCGATTGCTCCATATGTGCCTGGGGATGGATACAAACGCCGTCCGGTGCATGTGTTATGCTTCCGGATCCACATTCTTTGTCGAAGCTGGTTGCAGCATACAAGGAGCAAAAACCGAAGCCTGCTCCAACTCATCGCCATCGGAAAGGCATCGACGCATCTGGAACGGTCATTCTCCTTGCCCTGTGCGGGGTTTGTCTAGCGCTGCTGCTGCTCCTGATTGTAGCCGAGCACCACCAGCAACGTCGGGTGGGAGTTCATCCGGAACCTGCGAATGATCCTCCAGGTACTTGTTTCACTTTCTTTCAGTCATGAGAAAGACTAGTTTTTCTTTCTTCGCTGCTTACAGCCAACGGCGGAGAGCGAGCAGCTACAAAATGGAGATCATCGTATCTCGGACCACACTCGGAGTACGATGTCATTCCTATCACTCCAAGGCCTCCGACACAAACAACGCAAACAATAGAGACACCACCCTCGCAAGTTTTGCCAGGTACCTTGTCAGCTTACGTCCTCATCTCCTTTCTCATGCTTTCTCTTGCCAGCAGGCGAGTCCTCGCGGCGGTGGTCTTCTCGGAGATCGTTCTTTGGTGGAAAAGATGGAACCGGAAAGAGAAGCTTTCGCGACGGCTCTCCTTCGGAGCTGGAGCTCCAGTCGGGCCCAAACTTGGTCACCACGGGCGAGGATCTGACCGAGGAGGAGCAGGCCAAGATGAGCGAGCGAGTGAGGAAGGAGCTGCGGGGATCCAGAAGCGCCAAGTTCGTCACTGGCTACCTCACCGACTCGGAGGACTCGGACGGCGGCGACGAGCACAACACCCACTGCTGCACGCCAGACTCCCCCGCCATTGTTCGAACGTAATATATTCCAAGCATGAGGCAGGCATATTCTGTCACTAACAGGCATATTCACGAGCTATGGTGTGAATATTCTGTCACTAAGGCATATTCTGTCGGACAGAATTTTGGAGACTTCTCTTGTTTCCTATTTCGCAGCCGTGTAACAAAAATCTTGTCGTGAGAGTTCAAGCTCAAAGATTCAAGATCATGCTCACGATGAATCGCTTTAATAGAGATTTTTTTTTTCCTTACGCACTTCTCAAGGGAGGCGATACCAAGATCACTCCATCGCCCCTCACAAACAAGTATGGAACCTGTCGCTTTGTCGTCTGGAAAGGCGGGAATGGTTATAGAGCGAGTATAGAGTCCTCCAAATCAAATAGCGTCTCTCTTACCTTGACAATCTCCTCGTAAGTCTCGTCGTCAATCTCCGTGGTGGTCACGACCTCCTCCACTTCTCCCAGGATCATGTTTAAATGCTGGTCATAGGCCTGGAAAACAAAGACCCACAACTCAGATGAGTCCCTTCCCGAAGTATAACTTTGATGGATGAAAATCTATGGAAACTTACATGTAGCTTGCCTCGGAGCTCCCTATCGGCGCGCAGCTTGACGTAGATCCGCTCGTCCAGGCTGAGCCGGATGAGATCAAGCGGCTCCTTGACAGCGCCGTCCTCTTCACTCGCCATTTCCCACTCAGAGCTTTAGGGCTACTACTCTAGAATATTCACGGAATAATCATCCCGTACCATGTACGGCGAGACACTTCATACGCTCTGTAACTTCACAAAGAAAATCTCACGGCTCCGTTGTTCTATCAATGTCGGCCGAGTACGTGTCGATCAGCACCTCCCTCTCGTTTGGAACAGTCTCGACCACGGTGGTGGGCTTGGACTGCACGTCTTCGGATTTCACAGCCTCTTCCTGCTGCTGCTCGGCGTCTGGATTCGACGCGCGCTCGCTGCTGCTCTCGCCGGGGTTTGCCTCGTGATGACGATTCTCTTCTTCTGGAACAGCAGCCTCTAGTCCAGCATCGCCATTTTCTTGAGGCCTGGATGGAGCAACGCAAACGAGTTAAGAAGACAACTTTAGAACGAAGAGCTCTGGTACCTTGCGTGAGAGAACTCTTCGCTGATCATCTTTTCTCTGCTGACCCTCTGCTCACCAGCGGCGGTGGCGGAGGCAGCGGCGGCCGCATCACTCGCGGCGGCTCCTTGGCGGATTCTGGCCGCCTCCATAAGCAGCATTTGCTCCCTCGCCTTTGCAAGCTCTTTCTGCCATCTCTGCGCCTCCACAAGAGCCTCATCTCGCTCTCTCATCACAGCGGCGTACCGTTCTTCTCCTGCCTTGAGCTTTAGCCACACCGGACGTTACGATCTTGTGAGTTCCAGCAGAAGGAAAAGAGTACCTGAAGCCGTGCAACTTTTGTTCGATCGTCGAGCTCCTTGAGAGCGCGGTCTGCTTCTGCTCTCGCGGCTTTTCTTTCTTTGTCCATGGCGTGCGCAGCTCGAGCCGCAGCCTCGGCAGCATCGGCTGTTTCGGACAGACGATCCGCGAGCTCCTTGATCGTCACATCCCGTGTTCTCAGCTCTCTGGATAGCTGATGGAGCTCTTCATCCTTGACTCTCAAAGTTTCCTGGAAGAAATACACGAGATTTGTAGAAAGAAAAATGGAGATCATCACTACACGCACCTTCATAATGGAAACATTGTCCATACCACCGTCACCACTGGCGGTCTGCGATGATTTCCCACTGAGAGTAGCCTTGATGGACGTTTGCATTTCCGAGGCAATGTCTTTCGCCGCTTCCTTAGCTACTGTGTTTGCTGCTGTGACAACAGCAGCTACTGTTCCTAGCTTTGCCGCACCATTTCCACTCAGCGAGTTGACAGCCTCTTTGTGAGCTTTCAACACCAAAGATGATGCCCTGTCCATGCATTACTGTCACAATGGTAGAGTGGAAAGACGATATTGGCTTACCTCAAAGTGGCCACCCAAGCTCTTGCAACAGCCTGACTCTCAGCACAGAGATAGTATTCCTTCTTATTTGGTGTACCAATATCTGATCACTAGTTCAGGCCAAGAAAGCTAAAGAATTCTATAGTCGTGAAAAGGATACAAAAGCAGCAACCATCGTACTTCTTCGCACCGCTGAAGAACAAGACGAAAAAAATCAATAGAGAAGAAGAACCAACACAACAATGTTTTGGAAAGACAAAGCTTACTGAAAATTTATAGGAGACAAAGTGATGGTACTATCAGCATCGAAGTAAATTTGTCCTCGTGACGACAGATCTCCTCGATCCAGCCTGAAAAATCTCCACTTTAGCAAAGAATCGCAACAAAAATCGCAAAGTACCTGTACTCCATCTTTCCTGTTGCTGGATCCAATGTGAACCATCGTTGGTTCCACTTACGCAACTGGAATAACAAAACTTTAGTGATCCTTTTTGTTTCTCACAGCGCGACTCCAATCCACTCGGCTCTTACTGTCTCGGAGCGCTTGAAAAGTGGCCCTTGTAGAGCGGAATTCCCAGAGCCAGCGCTCAATTGCTTCTTGATCTTCTCCAAGCTAGATTTCGAGTCGGCAGCCGATAGCTGCCGCTGCTGATCGTCTCCTCCCAGCTGAAACACACAGATCGCATGAAATTCCTAAGAATGCTGGCCAGAAACACTACCGATTCCATCAGCCTCGCATCCCGCAGGGCAACATCGGGCAGAAGATCCATCCAACCCTCGAAGAACCCTAAAACCTGACGTGGAAATTAAAGAGTGACGTGGCGACTAACTATTGGCGAAAGGTTGGATAAAGTAAAAAATGAAAGAATAGTTATCTTTCACTGTAAATTTTTTCCAGAAACTATTGCACAAAATTGTCGATCATATGCTGAATCACATCAGCTCCACGAGAGTGTAAGCCGGTAGATTTTACCTGCGAAACTTCTCTCTTTTAGAACACGACGAAAGAGAAGAACAAAAAATGGGATTTTTTTCGCTACCTGAATGGTGCTGTGTGCAAAGAAACGTTGTAGTGTTCCATGGAAATTTACATCCACTCTCTCCCATTTGATCTTCGTGAGGCCTCTTATCATCTCCTCTGGAAGAAGAACAAGATCCAATGCTTTTGATGTTCCTCTAAAACTTAAACGTATATCCATACCTTCAAGAGGATCAGACGCAGGAGGAATGACCACCTCTGCGACGGGCGATCTTAAGTTGCGCTCCTCATTGTCTGGAATGATTTCCTCAACCGAGACAATGTGTGGATATCTGGGACCGATTGGAGTAGTGGTTACCTGAAACCAAAGAGTTTCGTGTTACAGTTTTACGATTGTGAATTGCAATACATCTCACCTTTGGAAGTTCTGATTCCCTTCGGAGAGATGATGTGCGCCAGCCAACCATGTCTAGACGTGAAATCAAGGATCACATAGCTGAAAAAAGAAGAAACTAGAGTCTCGCATTCAAGACACACAAAAGGATACGATCGTTTTGAACGTTTGCGTAGGCTACGTGACGCTTGAACAGCTGCAAAGCGGATCTACATGAACAGACACACAAGTATTTAAGAAAACGACACAAAGGATACAGGTACATACTTACAAAAACATCCCGTCCTCGCAATCTGTCACCATTCGACACAGGAGAGGCGGATGATTGGGCTTGCCATCCGTCAGAAAAAGGTGCCGACCCGTTCGTCCCACAAACCAATGCGCGATGCACACGGCTGCGCTTTCCAAACATCGGAAACCACAGAGAATAGGAAGCTGCAAACAAAAAACAAAGAGAGTAAATGCTGACGGTGACCGCAAAGGAGTAGAAAGTGAAAAGGGCGCAAGCAAACCTGGCCATTTGCTCTCGAGCCAAGATGAGGAGTAGCAACAGTGATGAAATTCACAGCTTGCAAACCAGCAATGGTTCCACGAACAGGAAGCTTTTCCTCCTCTCCTTTAGCATTCTCCTCTGGCTTAGGATCCACGTCTTTCAGCCCCAGGTCTGCTGGTCTGTAGAGCTGCGCTATGGCATATCGAGCGACAAGACCACCCAGCGAGTGAGCAACGAACGATATTTTCTGGACTCCACGAGTTTCGTTAATCGTTCGCTGGACCTGGAGTTTTCGAGAGATCTCTATCAAGAACAAGGAAAAGTCGAGCTTGTGATGAAAGTGAGACCCAAACCTCTTCTGCAAGACGTTTCCCCATCACGTCGACGCCATCGAACGTAGAAATCGCCGCGTTGCATGAACTACCTACAGTTAGAAAAAGGTTAAAGAAGAGACTATAAAGGGGAGAAGCTTGCAAAAAAAGAGAACTTACGATAGATGAAGACTCGTTCTCCCAATTTCTCCTTGAATTTCTTGGCAGCAAACTTCCAATCGTCCGCACTGCAACCTTACAAGAAAATCCATCACGACTAAGAACCGGATCAACAGTAAAAATCCTAGTACAAGATATTTCGCAAGAAAGAATTGGCTGGATCATCACCTCCCGACGATCCCATTCACCATCACGAGCAAATGCTCCCAGCTCCTGGGCTCCTCTCGCTCCTTATCCGTGATTACCTCCGCCATCTCGCGCGCATCCTCCTTCCTGCTCGCGATCCGCCGCGCCCTGGACGACGATTTCTCCCGCGACGGCGAAGAAATCTGCTGCGATCGAGCGCAAGGCAAGCATCCGCTGCCGCCGCGTTGCTTGATCGGCGACGTGGGCGCCACAGCTCCAGCATCCCTCTCCGCCATCACGACAGCGCGCCAAGCTCCACCCCCATTTTCCAATCGCAAGAACTAATCTAGGTCGCGCTTCCGTATTGTCACGATCTTGACACGTAGGCCACCACGTGTACCAATCTCCTTTAAACAAACGTAAAAAAGCATTGACCTAAAAGGTAACGAGTGAAAAGTAAATATATTAACTTAAACTAATTAAACTATTTCCAAGTAAATGAAACTGCTTGAAGTAAGTTTAACACTAATTAAACTTAATTAAACAAAATTAAACTAAATAACCCAGAAGAAGGCTTTCTCTTATCGTGCCTCCACGACGAGATGATCCCACGGTAGCGTCTCGCGAACCAAGACGTCTCTCACTGTAACTGGCGGCTCCTCCGGTGGACGATCGTCACTGTACTCGAGCTTATCATATCCAGCCTCGGTGCAAGCCGCCGGAGTTTCTTCCTTGCTCAACTCGTGCCTCCGGCTCTCCGGTGGCAATGGCGAGGGCCTTCGTCTCGACGACGCTGGAGCTGGCGGCTCTGGAGCTCGGGGCTTGAGTGGAACTTCTCCGAATGGTTCCAGCTTCTGCCAGTTTAGAATGTTGTAGTTCTTGGCGCCGGAGGCTCGGCGGCCGAGGTACTGGCTTCGCAAGTTCGCCCTCCACCTGAGAAGCTCAAGTTCTTTAGAGAAAACTCATGATCTTTGGAGGAAACTTGAGATCAAGGATCTTACTTCTGGCAGTCGTCCTCGTATCTTAGTTGCTCCCCTCCAAAGCTGTTGTGGTACTCGAGCGTGAAGATATCGTAGGCGGATCCACCTTTGTTGGCACGAACTCTTGCGTGAGGCTGCTCTTTGAAGAACTCGACGCGATCCTGGTCTTTCTGCCAGTCTTCTTCACACTTGTTGCGTACTTTCTGCCGCTGATACTCTCGCTCCGCCCCAAGTCTGTCCACGATTGCCTGCAATAAATGGTTCTGGATCAAATCGAGGTTTCTAAGTTGGAAGTCGAGGATGAGAAAGCTTACGGCTTCTTTGATTCTGTTCAAGCGCTGCTGCTCTTTCAAGTGGCCAGCGGCGTCGGTGTTGTGACGCTCCTCGTCTGAGGCATACGCGGCGCAGTCGCGTGGAGGCTGCGTCAAGCTGAGATTGGTGTAAGGCTTGTGGTGTCTCGTGAATCCAAAAACACGGCTCGCAAGCCTTCGTTTTTGCATGGCATCCTGTTCCAGCAAACAAGAAGAACGATTGAGAACATCAAAAAGAAAGCCAAGGCAAAAGCAAGAACAACGACACTGAGAAGGAAATTTTTTACGAAGTAGAAACAGCAAGGAAGAAGACGTCCAGATCTCTAACAAAACTTTCTAGATGAACAAGCGAAGGAAAAGAAGAGAAAACCGGGTAAACACGACACACAAAGAAGAGTTGAGCTCACACTGAAGAAAGAACTAAAGATCTTCAAGGAAAACTTACGTGATCACTGCCATTGTAGCTCTCAAAGTGGCATTTCTGGGGGGCCTTTTGGACGAGATGCGAGTAGGCGAGCTTCCGGGGTCCCTTGGGAGGGATTGGCCCGAAAGAAGCCATTGGAAAGGCTAGAACAAAGAGAAAATCACGGCATTGCCATCGTGGTTGAGCTAAACTATGATCGATCACAGTACGTACCCAGTAGTGTAGGTGAAGTGACATCGCAAGCACTGCCATATCTTATCGCGCCTCCTCGCGCTCTACTTCCCCTAAAATCCCCTAAACTCTAGGGTAAGGTTCGAATCCCATGAAGCGCCAAGCACAATTGAGGATATTCTCTACTAGCTGAAATCCAACGGTCTGGATTGATGGCCAGCGATGAGTGTGGAGGACTTGGCATCTCGTCTTAGGAACGAGAGGAATATCTCCGAGGTTAGGAAGGTCCATTCTTTGATCAGAAAAAACGAGAAGAACGGTAAAAATATCTACCTTGCGAATTTACTCTTACAAATGTATGGTAAATGCGGGAGCTTGGGAGATGCCAAGGAGGTCTTTAGAGAGATTGAGCATCCAAATTCTTACAGCTGGAATCTTTTCATCGCTGCTTACCTACATGCCAATGATTTAAAAGGAGCTAAATATTCCTTTGATAAGATGCCTGAAAGGGACGTGGTAACATGGACTACCTTGATCCAGGCATATTCCAAAGCTGGGCATCTGCAGCAGGCGAAGGTTCTCTATGAAAAGATGCCGGAGTGGAATCTGGTGTGCTGGACGGCCATGATCCAAGCGTACGGAAGCGCTGGTCACGTCAACGAGGCAAGAGAAATGTTTGACTGTATGAAAGAGAGGGACACAGTGGCATGGAACGCGATTCTTTTGGCCTATTCTCAGAGCGGGGACGTGCCAACGGCCAAGATGCTCTTCGATCGCATGCCCCGGTGGGACATTCCGGCATGGAATACCATGATCCAGATGTACGGGCGACACTCTTCCGGGGAATTGGCGACGAGATTGTTTGACCAGATGCCGTTGAGGAGCCTTCACACGTGGACGGTCGTGATACGTGCCTGTGTAGAGAGCGGGCTTACAAAAGAGGCGACGAGATTGTTTGATCGCGTTCCGGAATGGAATGTGGTGCTGGCAACGGTGGCGATGCAAATGTATTCCGGAATGAGCGACCTCGTTGGCGTAAGGAGAACGTTTATTGGATCGCTTGAGCGCGACATTGTTGCTTGGAACACATTAATCTCAGCTTTAGTTTTTAATGGGCATTGCCAGGAAGCTCTCGAATTCTTCACAAAGATGCCAGAATGGAGCATTGTTTCGTGGAATCTAAGATTGAATTGCTACGCGCAGGTCTACGGCGTGGATCAAGCCAAGGGGATATTTGACGCAATGCCCGCCCAGGATATTACGTCGTGGAATCTCATGGCAACGGCCTACGCACGCACGATGCAGCTGGATCGAGCGGTCGAGATCTTGAAGAAAATTCCGGCTCGGAATATGGCGTCGTGGAATCTAACGGTGGCGGCACACGCGGGGAAAGGACACTTCTATTCCGCGGTGGAATGTTTCTCTTCCATGCCGGAATGGGATCTGGTGTCTCTCAACACGATGATCGCAATCCATGCGCAGAAGCTGGATCTCCAGAGCGCGAGAGATCTGTTTGATTGCATGCCCAAGCGGGATCTCGTGACATGGAACACGATGATCCACGCGAATGCGGTGGCAAATCGCATGGAAGACGCCCAATTCCTCTTCGATTTTATGCCGGAGCGCGACGCCTCGTCGTGGAACATCATGATCGGCGGCTACGCGGCGGTGTTCCAGATCGAGATCTGCCAGGCGCTGTTCAACGCCATGCCGGATCGAAGCCCTCTTTCCTGGAGCAAGATGATCGCCGCGCTCGCCCAAAATGGAGAGATTCCGTCGCGAGTGGAGAGGATGCTGGAGACGATGGAGACGCCCTGGGCATCCGGGCATTCCATCGAGATTATGGCTATCCATGGGGTTCTTCCCCATGGCGCCGCGATGCTCAGCGTCTTGAAATCCTGTGCCCACTCGGGATCCCTCCCCGGCGCCTGGAAGAGATTCCTATCCATGGCTGCGGATCGCGATATCCCGCCGTCAAGGGAGCACTACTGCGCGATGATCCACATTCTAGCATCGGCCGGGCAGCTCGACGAGGCCCATCGATTGATCAACTCCATGCCCTATTCCTCCGACTATGAATCACTCGCCGCGATGCTTGGCGCCTGTAAGCTACATCGGGATGTGGGCCGCGGCATGGAGATCGCGGACCAGATCCTCGATTCCGGGGAGATCTCGATGAAAAGCAGCGGCGCTTGCTTGACGATGGTAAACAATCTGCTTCTCTCCCAAGAACCCTAAAATCGTTTGGCACCAAATTTCAAACTCTCTTCCATGTGCCACGTGGAAGTACCATGCCGCAGACTCTTGATCACCAAAGAATCACAGGCGATACAAAAACTGGGAAAGGAATCGTTAGTAAGAAAGAGAGCCATAACTTAAAGGAGTTGTCCAACTTTCTGAGATGTAGTCATGGCATTAGGGGTGTCATATTTCCCTAACCACGTCTTAGTGAGTAATCGTGTTGGGAGGTGGTTAATTGTTTGGGGCAACATGCAAAGTATTGACATTCAACTTTTTGCAATGGAAACTCTGAAATCCAAAAGGTAAATTCTAAGGTTTAATGAAGAGTGGCAAAGCTGGACAGCCCTGTTTCCAGGAAATCTTGCCAGTTCAACTATAAGTTCTTTTGCTGTTTCTTTAGGCTACTCTTTCTTCGTGCATTTACTGAGGAACGAATGCTCAAAGAGTAAGTCTAGAATTCTTCTGTTATTGTGGCTTATAACACTGACTAAGCTGCTATACCTCGATAGTACAGGGTTTTGCGACAGGGAAGGTGCTATACTTCAAAGTGTTGAGAAGATGAAGGGTGAGAAGATGAGCTCAGTGCAGTGGATGGATTCACAGATGGATTTGTCTAGTATTGCAGAGGCCCTGCACAAGAAACGACTTGAAATGATCAACAGCAGAGCTGTAGATGATATTAGTGACTCACTGGATGCCAAAAACTGAGAGGTTACTCCAACAAGAGTTTGAAAACTTGAAGCATGTACTGCCAGAAGAGGGGAAGGTGCAGGTGCTTTTGTTTTTGACAAAGATCATGGTCTCTTACTGAGTGGGGAAAGCACCTTCAGTATGGCATAATCACCATATGCGGCAAGTGGTGGTGTTCTTCACACAAAAGAAATACTTTGCAGTTGTTATGGATACAATGGAGATGGGAAGTATCAGTAATCTATAAGCTTGACAAGGACCAGTCAAGGAAAGCTAATATCCTGGATTTGTGGCTTTTACTTAGCCTATTAATCAAGTGGTGAATATTTACCTTATATGAGGATGAACCCAACGTACTGCAAGAACTCTATTCCTATCATACCATGATGTGACATTTCTTCAAGTTTACAGATGATCCATGATAGAAGTCCCAAAAGCTGCCTGATGTGTTGACTGGCATTGACACCTGGTCAACACATTTATTTAAATATTGACCAGTCAACACAGCATGTTTAAATTTGTTGAAGGAATTTGATAGTATTTGCTGAGGAAATACATGCTAAGTGGAATACAATACTAAGATTTAATTGACTCTAATTTAATAGTTTAACTTAATTTGGACCATTAAACTAGTTTATAAGCATTTCTTTTGTATTTTTCCTTACTTTCTTAAAATTAAATATTATAAAATATTCCTTAGGGCATTCAAAGCATGGTGCCCCTCTTCAATTTCTCCTTGTCATATAACAGTAAGACTAGGCCTCACAATGATGCCAAGATCAAGAAGTGTGGGCTGCTGCCAAATGAATCAGTTAAGCTTTCAAGTTGTTAGTGTTGTAAACTCCCAATGCTATATGAGTTTGGACTCACAATGAAATTGATAAAGAGTTTGGACTGAGCTAGGATTGGATATATTTAGGGCTTTATCTGGGGTTGGCCTGATATATCTAAAGCCTAATGTCTTTAAATCTTAACTCGATCTAAAATTTTCATAGTTTCATTCAGAATCCTTTAGCTTATGATATCTTTAAAAGTTTATTTTTTACATGAAATTGTATATATAAACTATATTAATATATAGTTTATATAAGCCATAAAAATTATTATGCTAATTTTAATATAGTTTTTTATTTGTTACAATAGTTATGATACAAGTATATAGTTTATGATATAGTTTTTAAGAAATAAAATAATAACATATTTGACACCCTTTGTCACGTGTCTATTATATAAAAATTTTATGTTGATAAAAAAAGGAATTTATTTTTAATTAATAATATAATTAGAAATTTAACACTTAAATAAAATTAAGTAGAAAGAACTACTAAAATATATTGGCTCAACATAGTTAGATGTTAAGAATTTAAAATCTTGTAACTGAAAATCTTTGAACTTTAATAGAGATATCTGAACAATTCTTTAAGATATATATTTAACCCATATGGAAATAGACTAAACCCATTATTTTCTAGATACCCTTTCTAAAGGGCATATGCAGCAACCAAAGAACCCCAAGATTAAGAATCTATACAAGGCATTCTAGAAAAGATATCTAGAGCTTGTGATAACAAACCGTTGCTACCAAAACTAACAAGCATTATATTGCAGGAGATTAGATTTATCGAAGGCATCAAAGCAAACATCACTACTGCCTGCTCCATATGCCCATTCTGGGCATGTCCGGCTATCAAAAAAGTCCACATCAGATCGTTTCTATCGGGGGACTGATCGAACAAAGCTTGGGCAGCCGACTTGTGAGTGGCCATTTATCACAGTGTTCCACAACATGGCACTCTTCTCGGGGATCAAATGGAACGCTCACATTGCGTGGTCGGGGCAAATCCGGAGACGATAGTAGTGAAGGAGAAGATGCTCCAGCACGGCATTCTCTTGAAACTCTCCCGTGAATCGCCCATGAGCTCTTGCTGGGAGGAATCCCATCAAATTCCACAAGACAATGTGTGGAGTCCTTGTGTGGCATCCCCCAGAAGAAGAAGGCCGTGCAGGCCTTGAATTGCGCTGCCTTAGAGGATGTTGGAGGAGAAGACATTGGGGTCTGGATTTGCAGCGTAGGCGGCCTTGGCATCTCCCAAGCTCCCACATTTGCCATACATGTAAGTGATCATGTTGGTGAGGTATCGATTCTCGCT